ATCTGGTGCTGCTCATTCGACTGCACTCACGCTCCCGCCTCCACGACAACGAGTACTGCAGCGTGTTGGCCCTGTGCGATCTGGCCGGCTTCGAGGACATCATCAAAGCCGACACTCTGGGCGACCCGACGCTGGCCAAGGAGGCCGGCTACATCAATCGGTCGCTGACCGCCCTCAATCGGGTCTTTGTCTCCCTGCGCAACCAGGATCCCATGAACGTCTCCTATCGCGACTCCAAGTTGACCTACTTGCTGAAACCGTTTTTCACCAACTCCGGCAAATGTGTCCTCATCGTCACCATTCGCACGGATCGCGTCAATCTGGCCTCGACCCAAAGCACCCTGCGATTCGGCCGCGAGTCTCGTGGCGTGCACTTGGGCAAGGCGCGGCGCCAGATCAGCCTGGATCGCCTCATCGACGATGTCCGCCTACCCTAGACGACCCTTCCTGGCCGTTGGCCACTTGGACGACGCAGGGCAACGTCACCTCCACGGCCGGCTCTACAAACTGACGCCAGACAACAACTTTTCTACCCTCCGGCAAGCCAGCACTCGGGCGCACCCAATTTCGTCTGAACAACCGATTGCATTCACCCAACCCTCTTTAAATTGCACCATGACGTGATTTTAAACATTTGATTGTGGCCTCATTCCACACCACCATCGTCATCTCGACAACCGGATGCCTCTGTCTCTGTCTCTTACAGTTGCTATGCTTTACGCTGAACCTTGATTGTTTAGCGCATTTGATACTTTGATCATCCATACCTGCGTTACAGCCTTCTCGCTGTTTTCGCCAACAACTCGGATGTGAGAACATCATGCCAGACCAAAAGAAATCACCTTTCCACCTGTTGATTCCGTCCCGAATATATCCTTCCGTCTATCAACTGTACACGATCTTGATAAAATTAACCATCCTCTTTGAGCCTTATCTCGCGATATGTGCTTATCAACTGGTCCTGACTTTTCTGAGGCTTGCATGTCGTCCGTTCAGTTGACCCAAAGCTGACAGCGAGGCCGAGGCCGAGACAGGGTGCTGTTGCATCAGCAGTGGAACGTCTTGTTCTTCGACTTGCTTCACTTGTCTCTCTCACCCCTCGGTAGGTCGGATCAGGGCGTTGAGGTGAGAGCAGCATCCAGTTCTGATGTCTCTTTCTTAGGCCTTTACCATCGCCACTGAGCTGGACAAGACTCGAGATTGGCCGGCTAGTTAAGCAGTTATGCGCTCAGGCTGGCTGTCCGATGTCGTTGGGGGGTAGACTAGCGAAACGACATTGGTCGATTTGCCTTGCAGGCAAGACTAGATCTGTCCCAAAAGTGGGTTCTCGTCCAGACTGTACCATCATGTCAACCCCGACCTAAATTGACCATCGTTAGCCACGATAGTCTTACTGTTTTTGTGTAATTAATCTATCTCCCCTCATCTCATTCCAGCCAACAGCATGACGAGCTTGCCAAGTAAACACTCCTGGGCGGATAAAAAGGGGTCTATGCTGCCATGGCAGTGGTGGTTGTGTCGCAACATCATCCTTCTGCTGACCAGCATTCTTGTCGGGATGAAGGAGCAGTCGGATGATCTGCAAGTAAGATGGCCCATTGGGTGCGTTGAACAAGGTCCACACTCATAATCGGTGCTATTGGCTCCTTACGAAGCCCAAATGTGCATCGTCTTATTCTGCGTCAGAGGGCAACGACGCCATTGGCACTAGATAGCCCTAGCCTTGAGTCAGTCTGGCCATCTTGAAGATAAAACCCTTCGAAGCATGTAGAAAAAGTGGGTTCTGAAGAATCCCTTAATGGACAGATGTTGGCTAACCTTCCATTTCGTTTGAAGAGGCGGGTGTGGAAGGTATTTGTAAGTTTGTCTCAACAGAAGCTGTAGCGGGATTGCCTTGAAGCTGC